ATCAGTTGCATACCACTGTTAGATAGGAGAGATTCTTGTATGGATCAGTTGCATACCACTGTTAGTTAGGAGAGATTTTTGCATGGATCAGTTGAATACCACTGTTAGTTGGGAGACATTCTTGTATGGATCAGTTGCATACCACTAATAGTTGGGAGACATTCTTGCATGGATCACTTGCATACCACTGTTAGTTGGGAGAGATTTTGCATGGATAACTTTAAAAACATGTTGATGATAATATTTATTAGCAATCAAGATTATTTAATGTCAAATTGATTCGCATTGTTTTATCCATGTTGGATAGTTGAGGTTGGTAGAAAGTTTTGAAAGGCTCTCAAATTTATGATTTATGCACAATATCTACCATACATTCATTAGACTTCATTTTTGCTACTTATATAGAGTGTAAAAAAAGAAGTGAATATTTTGTGTTCTATGCAAAAAAGAAAGGTGCTCCTTCCATTGATGTGTCTGTTCTTGCATAACAATCAGAAAGGATTAAGTACTTGATTGATTGAATTTCACACTGTTAATAAGGTTTTGTTGCCATTTCAAACAAAAGAAAACGAACAGCAGGTTTTTGCTGTGCTGTCTCATTTATAGAGAATCATCAATTGTAAGAAATTCTCACTCGTGGAATAATGTATTTTACATTGTACTTTCATTTTACTTAATTAATGCTGCATTTTATGACATAATAAAAATACCATTGAAAAGTCACAAACAAAAAGCTGCTTTCTTTGCTATATTCAAAGTTAAAATGTATGTGCAAAACACAATGTTAGATGCAATGTTAGATGCACCTACAAATGTTTGATTTTTTTTTTTTACACATTTTGTAGAAGCTATATCCAGTCCATTCGATCAGCGGTTTTGAGTGGGTTAAATGCAGCAAACTTGTTATTAATAACGAATTGAATACATACTTTTAATCTTACTTAAATGTGCTCTAAGACGCAATGATAATATTTGTAATATCACCCCTAAGAGGTGAAAAACGTTGAAATTTTTGCCATGTTGGTTGCTAATTGCATTAGCAAATAAAGTCTAAACAAGATTCATAAGATAGAGAAACATACTACAATTACTTTCAGCATATATTAATTTTAGTGGATTGGATGAAAGGTTATGACATTATCCACTGACATAACTAGTTAACTTGACTTAACTTATCATAACTTGGGTGTTGAAGAAGCTTTTTAAAAAGCTGTTTACGTTTTCTGTTTCGCCTGGAGTTTCTTGGTTTACATTATTTACATATTTAACAATAGCCAATCTCTACAAGACAATTATGCAAACTTTAACAAATAAACGCCGCAGTTGCGGCTACTTTTTTGCCTTAATACCTGATTGTTGATGAAGTGACAATTTTCGTGACATATACCACACACTGACGTTATATATATATATATATCAATGTGTTAAAGACGTAATGCTGAAGTTGGAACATTTTATCATATGAATTTCTGCCATGTAAAAGGTCATCTTCTTTATCGTACTTGAAATCTTTTCAAAAGGTTTTGCCATGGCAATTTCTTTATGCACATCTGGACTGGAGACCATTTTTAAAAGGAAGGCTTTATAGAAGGATAGATACTTAATACAGAAATTATTGTTAAAGGACTTGCTGAAAAGATTATAGTCTTTTCAAATTGGTAAAAAACCCATGAATGAAATTTAAACATCTTATTGTACTCTAAAGGACACTTGTATGAAAATATTATTCTAGTGCACGTGTAATTATATGTAAATAAGTCAGGCGCTTTAGCGCATGTTATCTTGCCCAAAGACATTAGTTTCAAAATTTTGGAAGCCTTGTCTTGCATGGGTCTAATCCGACACTGTTTTTTGTTATTCATTTTTTTATCTATAAAAAATAAACAGTTTATCTTTGTAGTTTAGCAACCCACGTCAGGTCAATGTTAAACAAACCCTACAAACATCGTACTGAAATGGAAAGCAAAATAGTAAAACGTATTCACCATTCCTCAAAATGGGGAAATGTAAAAAATAGGAGTGGCAACACTGCCTCAGGCAGTACTTCATGTTAACTTGATGCAAGTTTCTTTCTCAAATACAAACGACATTTTCCCATAAGTATCTGTGTAAACTGTAAAGGTTAATATACGGGAAAACTTTACTTATGTCGGTTGAATTGAAATACGTCGTTTAACAAACCTGGTATATATGTTTTTCTGAAGTAATTTGTCGAATTTTTAACGAACATGTGCATGGTTTATGGTTGAGGGCGAGCGATGGCGAAATATTGCATACATTTGGCTTCTTGTTCAGGTAGGGGTTGAATGGTTCATGAATTAATTCTTATAATTCATCTCATGTTCGTTTTACGTTAGTACATTCATGCATGTCATTTGAGAGAAATGCGAATTGTTGTGTATAAACAAGACTGAATTCATGAAGTTGTTTTAATACTTAGTTCAACAAGGTTTGTACAACACTTCGTTGTCCTTAAAAAGTTATAAATTTATAAAGGGGTGCTTAAAGATCTTGAATTTTAAGTGTTTCGGTCAAATTTCTGTGTCTAGTTTACTTTTCGTTAATAAAGTTAACATTTTAATCAACCAACATGGCGGCTCACGTCAAATGAAAATACAACATTAATTTGAAAAAGTTCTTTGACTTTATTTTTGACATTGAGTTCTTTTGTTGTTGTATTTTGCATGCAATATTATTTTTTACTCGCCTTCAATTGTTTAAAGTACATCCTTCAAAGTCCTTGAAAAGTACTTGAATTTAAATTCTCTTGCTTTGTAGTGGGACTCTCTTAGATAAATACGTTGCGCGCTTTGCATTGCATCATTTGAGAAATTTTGCTTGTAAGAAAGTTTTTTCCTGATTTACTTGCTGGCAGCTGCAAGAGACATAGTGAAGTCGTCAAATGTAAATTATTTATCAGCGTTTTAAAATCCCAATAGTGTTTTGAGAAATGTTTTCTGTTTATGGCTTTGTTGTACATGGCTGGCCTGTGTTTCAAGTTCTTTAAACTGTCGATGACGATGGTCTGTCGCCACAGCTGGTGATCAAAGGTTAGTTCATTTTTTCCTCCGTTTTAACGTGGTCTAAAGTTTCATCAGCTTAATACATGTCTTAATGTATTACTGATAATTTTTGAAAGTTAAATTTAAATGCAGGCCGTCCTTACACAGTTCATCAGGGGGGAGGGGGTGTGTAATCCGTTCGAACAACTGGTCAAAGTACTTGTACCGAACAGACTAAAGGACAAAACCTCGACAATTTTCAAGGATGTGTTATTTTATTAATTAATATCGCAGTAATCTCAAAGTAATCACACAGTAATTGACCCAGTTCTCTTCGTACTGTGACACTGTTCATGTAATGTTTTGTTTAGTGCTCAAAAAATCTTTTTTCTTCAGACTAATCCGTACATCGTACTTCTACCGACTGCAAATCCAAATAACTTTTTCGAGTATGACACTCCCAACCCCCTCCCCACCCGCTTCATAATTTTTGCTCTGTATAAATGATATGAAATGGTTTAAAAATGGTATGAAAATTATCAATACAACGTGTGCGAAAATTGATCAAAACCTGAGTTCGCATTATTGTTATATTATAAAAAGACGGAAAAATATTATTCATATTTGCACTGACATCTGCAAATCACGGAGACGTTTGTTAGAACTCTCAAGCAGATCAGATCATAAACTCGGTTTTTATAAGCTTGTTAAGAGTGAAAGTGGCTATGCAAACGCTGGGAAAAATTATTGCCTTAAGTTGAATGTTGTAACGCATAAAGGAATTTTCGTTTTAATGATATATGGATAGCCTTTTCATACACAAACGTACCTTCTCTTGACTCTTGTGTTGTTCTTTGACGTCAATTGACATACTAAGACGTCATCAATCCGATGTAAGTACGGACGAAATTTTAAATGCTTGGAGATGCCCTGAAAGTCGACTCAGTGAAGTTCAAAATGAGTCATTTACGACATAGTTTCTTTTAATTGGTATAGTGTTGTTGTCGACGATCAATTTTCATGAAAACTATTGAACAAAAGAATGACTGTAAGATTGTTTTAATAAAAGCAAGTGCTTCACAATTTTTCACTGTTTGTTGGTGGAATAACATTTTTTCATAAAATAAAAATGTATTAACAGGATGTAGTATTCAATCAATTACATTGCTATTGGGATCTGTCGAAAAGTATATCAAGAAATTCTACTTAATCTCCACCATCAATGTGCATTAGTTACGTAGTACACACATCAATAATCTTTGAATGACAATTAGCTTACTGCTCTTTTGAAAACGTGACGAATATTACTTATAGCGAAAGAAGACAACCAGTCAATAGAGAGATTTAGCAAACACGACGTATCGTCTAAGACGCCGTGAAAATGGCGTAAGTATGGCGTGGCTCCAACCATATATGGGATAATCACGCCATTTTTACGTCATTTTCAGGACGTCTTAGACGATACGTCGTGTTTGCTAAATCTCTCTAATATAAGCGCATTTGGTGTTAATGTTACGAATTGTTGTTTAACTTTATTTTATCGGAAAAGTGGCAAAGGCAGCTCGCTTTTTTAGTTTGGAGTTAAGCAATAGACTACTATGTGAGAAGAGTAACGTGTCTACAGCCATCATGACGTTACTCTATTTGGAAGCAATTAAACTACGAAGTCGGTTCATGTGCTAGTCATACACCATAGCTTATAAGTCGTACACTACAAAGACAGCTCATTAAAATTCTACAGAGCAATGTTCATAATGTATAGACAGATCATAAACTTATCTTCATCAGTTTTTAACCATGTTAAATGTTAATTTAAATGACACTTTAAGTTGCTGCAATTATACGATGAGCTTTTAGACAACTGATGAAATACTGGTAACCTCTCGGAGTTTTTGAAAACTTGATGATTTCTATTTCACTTTGCCAAAAGAAGTTTGTAGTTTCACTAATGTATTTACCATTTTACTCTGATCTTAAAGCTACCACACGTACACTTAGCGTACCTAATTTTATATTTGTTTACAGGAAAACGATTGCAATTCGTTTTATATGAAATACAAGTTTGAGTTGGCTTAACTACATACCAACATTCGTTATGCACGTTAATATTTTTAATTAAATTCTTTGAATTAAATGAATTACACATTGACTAGCACATACTAATTTGAAATATGTATTAAAATATTCATAAACTAAGATAAATACTATCAAAATTTGCATTAAGAAAATATGCATCCACAAACATTTGACATTATAAAATATAAAAATAAAAAGAAATTAATTTATTCAAGCCAAATCTTTTTTTCCTTAGAGGCTCACAACTAACTCGCTTTTATGGTCTCCCCAAAAACTTCATACACATAGAGAAAACTATAATGCCCCTCCAATTCAACCTATAGTCTCGTCCACCAACTCATAGAAATTTAATCTCTCCAAGTGCTTATGCACTCTACTTAACCCTGTCATACACAACGATTACACTACATCAGATTGTTTTACTTTTGTTAACAAACTACACGCCCAAAACCACAACAACTACTACTCCGTTTCTTTTGACGTCTATTTTAAATGTCTTATAAGTCAATTGTTATATTAACTGTCACAATTCACGAGGTGTCACGTCATCATCAGACAACCAATCAATTTCGTCGAAGAGAAAATCATCATCTGGGCCATTGTCTTGCCCAGTCTCTTGAAGTGGCAAACGAAGTAAACGCCTTTCATCATGTTCAGTGGCTTGATTTTCTGAGACATTCTGCCTTTCGTTGTAATGAGTGTCCATCGATCGTAGAGTGGATGGCTCTGTGTTGTCATTATGTATGTCAGCACTGCATGAATTGGATGATGACTCGTGAGAGGAAAAATTGCTTGATGATTGAACTAGAGAATACTCGGAGTCGTTATTAGATGATACCAAATTGGATGACTGGGGCTGGGAAGACTCAGAAAACTCACTGTCCGAGGAGTTTTCATCAGACGAGTCCACGTTCGATGATTGGTCTTCAGAAGATTCAGGAAACTCACTGTCCGAGGAGTTTTCATCAGACGAGTCCACGTTTGATGATTGGTCTTCAGAAGATTCAGGAAACTCACTGTCCGAGGAGTTTTCATCAGACGAGTCCACGTTCGATGATTGGTCTTCAGAAGACTCAGAAAACTCACTGTCCGAGGAGTTTTCATCAGACGAGTCCTCATCAGAGGATTCTGTATGAGATGAATGATCTGAATAATATTCATCTTTATCAGTATGGCTATCACCCGCTGCGCACTCTTGAGATATGTTATTAGTCATTGTTGCTTTCTAAATGAGGAAATATTGTTTGGTTATATTTAAAAATAAAGAATTTTTTAGTAAAAATGAAAAATGTTAAATCGTAAATGATTATTTATTTTAGCTGTCAACGTTTTAGCCGTTTTCCATATCAAAAATGATAGACTGATAAAAATATTGATCTTATAGTTGAGATCTTAAGCTTGAGAATAATCGTGGTCTCTCAAGCTAACTGTATTGTTGCACTTTTGCTGTATTGCTGAGGTTTTTCTTTTTTCTTGCCGAATTATTTTTCTTCACATGCTACATAATTGACGAATTCTTTAGCAAACTCTGATGATTTGACAAAATTCAACATGATTTATAAAATAACGTTCTTAACTTTCAACATTTTAATATCACCCCTACAATCAGTCTGCCGCCATGCATGGTGTTAACTGTCTCACAAATCAGTATTATACGGAAGCCTAGTCTTTCCTGCAATCTGATTGGCTGTTGCATCAAATATATAAAGTCAAAAAGAAAATATATGTCGTCGGTACACTTTGTAATGAGCAAAAACATTCTTAAAGAAAGAATATGTAAGGTTTAATTAAAAAAGATATGCAATTTCATGAGAACAAGCTTCGTTGACTTATATCGTTATTAACTTTAAATCTCTAAAATGACATGACGTCATTATAACAATTTCTTTGTTTTGTTTTACGGAGACAGCAGGATATGAGCTGAGAAGGACATTGTGTTAATACAAACGATAAACTGACACTTTAAAATTGTGCATACTTTTGCAATTTAAATGTTCGATGTAAACGAACGAATGTACCGATTTTTACCGAATCTTACATATTTTTCGACTTTAAAAATAATCGCTGCTAATTTATATTACGAGGTACAAAAATACACTCGACAATTTCAAAAAATAGATGAAAAAACACACTCCAATAAGCATCATCTTGTAAACTCAAGATTTCAGTTATAATAGCAAGAGACAAGATTTAAAGCAATATTTCGACTTTATTTCAAAGTCATTATCAAGCTAAGTGATTTTTTAAAAAGAACTTGTTATTTTTTCCTAATTCCTTGATCTAATTGTGAATAGTAACACTCTCCGTCCACACGTATCCGGATTCGTTCGTATTTGTCCAGACTTGTTGCGGTTACGCTTAATATACAAATCAGTGGTTATAATATACATATCACGTTTGCCAACTTTACATATTCAATTTATCAATTATATCGTCTACTTAGTAATCTTATGGTCTCACTACTGCTAGTTTGCTGTATGTTTTATTGATTATGTTATCTGTGCATCTTTTAACTGTTGCACAGTTTCTCTTAACGTTGTGAATTATTTAATATTTTCTTTCCTTTCGTTATTAGAAGCAGGAAGTCGAATTTCGAAATCTAGCTGGAATCTGGTCTAATAATATATTAATCATATGCGACCACCAGCGGAGTTAGCTCATTGTTGTTGCATAAATTGATGAGAGAAATGCGTGGCATGCTTGGGCGATATAAAGGATTCTGTGTTAGTGACAGTGTGATGTTTCTTGTTTGTCTCGTCGAGTGAATTCGAAAACGTTCAATTGGGGACACATGTCTCACGAATACTAGCAAGTATTCAGATTCGAGCGATAATGATACGTATGTTGGCTCGAAGGTATATTCAAAAAATTGAGCGTTCGGTTGCTCCAAGGTAAAACTTTTATTGTTCATTGCCTTCAACAATTGTCAGCAGAAACGTCTACATAAGGCCAAAGCAACAATAAGGTAAAATATTTTTTTCATTATTTATTGTATTTTAGTTTAACGTCGAATATTGTAGTAGGACTACCGCTAAGGTTGTCGAAACGTCAGTCAACAACAACAAAAACAGTCCTTCTCAGGACTTTATTAACCTGAATCTTTACAAAGTTAATACATCATTCTCTCATAATCTCTGCGGCCAGTCTTTGCCATTCAAGATATTTTGAAATAAGTGAAATTGCGAATAAGTAAATAAAATGAATAGATTTCCGAATCGCATGGTTGCACACAATAGTCTCCTGCTGAGTGTTAATATTTTCATTGCTCCCAAGAAGACATTTCATCTAAATTGAGCAAATGACTCAACGTTTTGCTAAACAAATGCGATCAGTTTCAGCGTATATAAGATTCGTTGAAAATTCATAAAATTATCCATCGATAAAGTTCGTGTGAAAAGGGGCCACATCCATATTCATGTTGCCGCATATGGCGCGATTTTTAGGTGGGGTTCTCGACGTTATGCTCGTCATTTGCATGGAAATTTGACTGATTAAAAAGATCAAAGATGAAAGTGTTTGTATTCATATAAAATAGTGCATATTGCAGTTAACAATATATATTATTAAAATTATATAACAATCTCAAGAATCCAAGCGTGGTTTAGGCCCGGTTCAAACGTCGCATTTTACATGCGCCAAATCAAATGCGAGAATTATGTGCATGTAAAATGCGACGTTTGAATCAATTAAATTCGACGGATTTTAATTTAATGCGACTTTAGTCGCATATTCGACTGAGTTAGTCGAATATTCGACGGAAATTCGATGTTGATTCAAACGTCGCATTTTACATGAGCCGAATTTAATGCATAATTTATTTTAAGATATTTCTAAGCAAAATCAATTATTTCCATGCTAAATGCCATGCGCAAAGTTGTAAAACATGGCGGCGGCGAGTGATGGTAATGGCCCTTGTATTTCGTGCACAAGTTTAACAAAATACACTTGTTTAAAGTGCAAAAAATTTATATGTACAAGGAAAGTTTCCTCGAGATACACGAAATGTTTTTTTGAATCAGAATAAATACTCCAAACTTTCTTCCACCAGCCGGAATTTCTATCTTGTCTTCGACATGATCGATAAGGAGGGCTACGTATGAAGGCTTTTTTTTGACCAATTAACGGTAGAAAAACATGGGAAATTTGCAGAAGCTGCCGTCTCGTTTCTAATAGTTTATTTGCTGTAACATGCATCAATATTCGTCTTTTCCTATTAACACGAATCATATTTGAAATGCATAAACTCAACATTTTTCTGTTCGCCATTTTAGGAAATTAGTACAAGAAAATGAATAAACTATGAAAAAGTGGAAGCATAACTATAATAAATGCGACTATTAAATTCAACATCTGAATCAAACTACGCATAAAACTATTTTAGTCGACTAAAACTCAGATTTGATTTGGCGCATGTAAAATGCGACGTTTGAACCGGGCCTTAATAAAAAAACACATGATATGATTGGTCAAATTTAAACATATAACAATCTTAAGAATCCAAGCGTTTTGTCAATTAAATTTGGGAATTTTTCCGATGTATTATAAAATGCAAATAGATATCACTAGCCCATGTCTGTTCACTTATAGATTCAGGGGTATGATGTCATTTGTGATAAGATCGAATATTGTTCATTTGGCCCAACTTTTTGTTCTGAGCACAAATGATGTTATACCAGGGTTTCTATATGTGAACAGACAAAGATTATTTAATCTGTATGTAAAAAAGTGCATAAATACTTCTATTTATTTGGTCAAAAACACCTCCTCCATTCATTTGACACCTCACTTGCAACATCTAAAAACTGAAATGATTCTAAACAGTATGTGTTGGTCAAATTTGGACTTACTGAAGTTTAATGCCATCTCTGGGGGCTATGTAGGGATGAGTGGGATGAAAAGGTAACTTCAATTTAACATACTGTGTCAACATGAATATGGATGTGTTACCCCTTAATTGTCCACTTCCCCTGTTTCATTGCAATAAATAGTGTGGTATGTATATTAACATGTGGCCCGTATATTAACATGTGGCCCGTATATTAACATGTGGCCCCATAAATAGTTTCCTGTATTTGAAACAAAATTCTGTGTGCAGCTGAGGTTTAGGAGTAATAATTGAATAAAGTTTTAGTTTAATTGATAACTAAAGTATCATTTATTCTAAGTCTTGTGTTTGTATGTGTTGATGTATCCTACTGTATATAATTAAGTATGGAAAGGTTGATTTTGTTGAAAAGTTTGATAAATGTTTCAAACGTCAAACTTAGCATGTGCCGATTGCATTAAAAAAAAGGAAATGAGATGAACTTTTTCTATATCTTATGTTCTTAATGCATTTGGCACATTTAAAGTTCAACTCTTAAAAAAGATATAAGTTTAAATATAGTCATTCACTGCATTTTAGAAAATACAATGAAAGAATAATATAAATTTCTCATATTGGCAGTCATACACCATTCATGTTTGACAAGCTTTATGTTAACATAGTGCATTTTTTTTGGAATGATACGCAGGCATTTCATGTGCAACTTTATCAATAGAAATGAAAAACTTACATGTTACTTTTGGTATAATTATCTCAAAATGGTGCATTGAGCATGAAAATGGTATGTGTTCATTTAAGCTTGATTCTCAAAAACAAGAAAAACAGAACAGTTTATTCAAGTTCATTGTCTTCATGACACCAATAAAATTTTCAATGTGCATAGGATTATGCTTCAAGTTTAATGAATGAAGACTGAAGAGTATCAAATCCAAGTACAAAGGAATTATGTTGGAAGGATATTTTTTTCAAGTGATAAGCCCTTCCCAAAATTGGATGGATGCTAATGACACTGAATCAGAACTGTACCTGGAGTCTCAGAATTTACTATTTTGGATTAAGAATACTGATGAAGAAAAATTGGTTGTGGGCACAGCATTCGAATCTTTGTATTTAAATCTTATCAAGTACTATCAAAGGTAGGTGCAAGTCCTTTTGAACACATTTTCCACATTTACATATGGACAAATTCAAATTTTCAACATCTGGCATGCATTCTCAAACAACTTGGGAGAAAGCAATTTACATGAAAGATTATCACATTCCTAAACAAGTTTATTTTTTGCAAAGAGATTTACAGTTCACAAGAAAATGTTTCGAACAATGTAAAAATTTAAGGGTTGAAATAAAAAGATAGGTGTTGTAGCAATGTGTGAATTAACAGTGTGCAATGTGCAATTTGCACATTGTTTTAGCTAAAATGAAAACAATTGTTCATCACTTTTTCAAACGATGTGCAAAAATCAGCGGTTATAACGAAAAACACTGTCGTAAATCGTATGAATTTGTTCACATTTAAAAATATTAATTTAGCAATTAGCGTTATATAATAATTAATGTAATATTGATTTAATTATGGCTCTAAAGAAACACTTTTGTCGAAAAAATTGCACATTGTTTTTTCTGAACTAATTTGCACACTGGTGTGTAGCGATTCTTGAGTGAAAACAATTATTTAATTCATTTATGTGGTTCATATCTAATTTCACAAATATTCACTAATTCAGGTACAGATTTGTCAGTATAAAACATACCTTAATAATACAATTGCCTTTTTTAAACTATGACATATTTATTGCTTTTGTTAAAAAATATTTTCGTTTTCAAGTAATTAGTTAATGATTGTATACTGAAAATATTTCATCTTATGATTTTTGTTTACCATTGTACTTTTCATTCCAGGGACTTGTGACTGAAGTTCAATGAATTTGTATTACTGTGTCTGTGGGCTGTATTTGGTTAACTTTAACTGTGTATTTCAAAAAAATTGCAAAAGATGTTCAAAACTCATATGGAACTGAAAATGGCATATGGTATGTGTTTCATTTAAAACTCTATTTAATTAAAGGGAAATGGCAATATGTTTTTTATAATTATTACAGTACATTACCCCTAAATATGAAAAAAACCCCAAAATTTGTCATTGCTGTCCTTTGGGTGGAAAGATTCGTCTCTTTTTTCATTTAAATCATAGCGTGTTCGTCACCAACTTGTAAAGATTTTTATTATCCTAATTTCTTCATGCTTTAGCAAAATGACATCACAACAGGGTTAGCGTTCCTTGGCAAATACAAGTCTTGTGTATATATGTTAACATATAGCCATGTATTGTTCGGTTTATTACTTTAATAGCAGCACTGAAAAAAATCCCGACAAAAAAATTCACTTTTTTAAGTTCCTAAAACAATTTATGCCCTGTTGTGACATCATGCATATTTCCATAATAGCTTGTTTTTGAATTAAAGATGGCTTCCTTTCTTCAATTTTATTTATATTCAAATTGATTCAAAGGAGAGCTCTATAGAGAATTATGATGTCATATAAAATTCATTCTTTAATAAATATCTTAAATATTTGTTGGTAATGAAAAAAAAAGTTGGTTGCCATTCCCCTTTAAAAAATATTAATTTGGACTTTATTTCATCCGAAGTGTACTTGACTACTATTTTTGCAGTTGCAGCAATAGAAGCATTCTGATAAATTTTGATCAATTCATTACCTTATGTTTATCAGTTGATAAACTGAGTTCTTCAACAAAACTCAATGAAAAACCCTTAACATCCTGTTTGGGATCAACCACTCATACCATGTCCATTTTTTGAATTAGCCAATCATGTTAAAGCTTTGTGAATCACTCTGTGTCTTGATGCATTTGGGAATTATGATTACCTCAAAATGCAGCAATTTCTTACCAATAAAAAATTTTTTATGAAATTAAGAAGTTGCATTTGGTTGCTGGCTGAAATTGAAACCTAAATTCAGATGTTATATTAAACAAATATAATGACGATCATAAAGATTTTACCATTGACAGCCATCAAAATAAATCGTTAGCGCCATAAATACACTCAATATCAGCCCCCAATGATCATAGCTTCTGGTGATTGCCACAATTTCATCAACAGCTCTTTCATTTTACAAAATTTCAGCATTTAAAATCATTTATACTGAATTAAATTTAATCCAAGCTTTTTCAGTGTCAGAGTGATTCACTAAGCTTTGACATGATTGGTTTAATAAAACAACACATGATATGATTGGTCAAATTTAAACAGGAGGAAGTTAAGTGTTTTTCAAAGAGTTTTGTTGAGAAACTTCAAAGATCATTTCCGGTATGCTTCTATTGCTGCAACTTTAATAATTCCTTATTACAAAGGCAAATAAGTCTGTGTTCTACAAATAAGAAGAATCCACCTTTACCTTAATTGTAACCATTGTACCAGGCTTTGTCATAGTACTATGGTTTTGTTTCTTTTAGAACTCATAATTATTACCATTTTGCAATTTTTTCCAAAAGTATTCGACAGACACAACAATTTATTGATGGTCTCCATAACATTAAACATTGTGAACTTATCATAATATTGCTGTGGTTTACTTTATTTTTAATGTTGTCATCGCTTAAGGCCATAGGAAAATTATTTTAGTCAATGGCCAACATGAGTCACCAAAGATGCAAGCTTTAACTATGGGTGGTCAGTTGGTGTTTCGTTTTGAAAATTTTAGTTTTCAACTTTCTGTTTGTCAGCATTAAATTTATCGCATGTTTTTCACTCAAATATGATATTCATAAGATCTTATGATTACATAAAACATGTTTTTGTTATATTTTCACCATCCTAGCCAATGCCAGGCTAGCTTTTGTAGACTTCAGTATAGTTATTGTATGGTGGTCGGTGGCCACAAAACTACACTAAAGTAGCACAACAATTTCAGAAAAGTTTCACAGTTGTTTGAAGAAAAATCGTGTTTGAATTTTGCAATTCCATTTAAAGTTGGAGAAATCAATATTCAAGTGCATGCTTTGCTCATGGTTAAAAATAGGAATACAAATAAATCAGCAGCCAAGGTATACACTCTACAGAAAAGTTAACTTACCAAGCTCAATCACTCTATTCTTTGAGCTTTGCGATTGAGCTGGGACGCATAAGGATTCAATCTTCCTCTGCAAAGGAAACAAAAACAGTATACATTGTGCAACTGAAGTTTCTGTGCACTACATTCACTTAAAAATTCACTTTAAAGTATGACGATTATTTAAGAAGTAATAATTTTATTTGTCAAGTAGTTAGCCTGTGATCATTTACTTTACTTGTGTTTTTTTTAATTTCAGGTAGTTGTTGTTATAGTATGGTGGATTTTTACTAACTCACATCTTGTGATCTATGAAGGATAAAGCTCCAAAAAACATCATATGGTATGTGTATGTTTCATTCAAACTTCATTCTCAAAACCTGAGTCAAACTTTTCAACTATGAAAACATTGGCTACAGCGATATGCCATATTTTTTTTTGGGTGGGGGCTCATATTCATATAATCGGTTTTCAAGAGAAACTAATAAAATAGAACATGCCAATTGAATATTAGCCACCCTCTATCCAACCCAATTATCGGTCTTCCGTGGTCACTGATGCCTTATTTTTCAAAATTACTTACATGTTTGTAAATGTTGTTGTTGACTGACGTTTCTATCGTTCATACGTTTTGCAAGCAATGTCAGACGCATACGCTTACAAATACGGCTAACCTGAAGTTTAATCCTCATTTGACTCTGAAAATGACTACCGCTAAGGTTGTCGAAACGTCAGTCAACAACAACAAAAACAGTCCTTCTCGGGAGTATACCAACCTGGACGATCTACATTTACAAACATGTAACGATACTCCCGGGCTCAAACCATTTACAAATTTACTTACATAAGGTATGCTTCCAGACCATACATATTGACATTGTAGCAGCCTTATTCTGTTTATACACATAAGTTAGTGGTGGAACCTCATTCCATCCCAAAATCTAAAATCTCCCATAAAAAAATAAAAAAAAACTCACAGTTATGTCTTTTGTTCTAGGAATCCTAATGTATACTTGTTCTTGATCAGTGTAGATGGCCTTGCAAGCACGATTTACAACATTAGATACAGTAGAAAGTTCGTAGAAAGATCGAAAGTTTTTGTGACTGTGTTGTTTAAAATTTTGTTGTTTGAGCAATCGAGCTCGTAGTTCGCGTGTTCACACCCCCCTTAAATTATGATTCGAAGGGGTGTGTGCACAGTATAGACTGGATTATATATATCGTACCACATATACGTAGAGTATAGTATGAAAATTGAAGCCGGAAGACGGCTCATTTGCATATGTTTTATCGGTCCAACTTTGTAACTCTTTATGGGGCGCCAGATGTGTTTATTATTTAACCTATTGACTTTAATCTGGTTATTTCAAATAACCAAATTAATTTTTAGATGGAAACTTTCGAGCGAAATACATAACCACCGTATGGACATCAACAGTCCACTCCCCCCTGAATAGGTGCAATATTTTGCTGGATTCTGGAATTCATTTCACGGTAGAGCCACATTAGTTGCATTGTGAAAACTTTAACTTCATTGCAATCTTTGTTTCAATTTATTTTTTTACATGCACTAATATGCAATGCGTTTATGTTCTTACATAGCAGCGAACACAACTGTTGCTTCTTGTATTTATATCTTCCTGGCATTTTATTATATTCAAGAATAAACTATGTTTGTTTGCGAGAAAATATACTTTACCTAACAAATTGATCCCAGCACAGCGTCCAAATCGTTAGATAGCGTGACGCTCTGTTTAATGCTAATAATACTGCTGTAGCACCGCCGACCTAATTGTTTTTAGCGATAATCATAATAAACAGCAAGAACGTACCGTACATAAAGTATAAATACAAGAAACAAAAGTTTCCCCGCTAATATGCAAGAACACTACCGCTTTGGGTATTCGTGCATGAAATGCAAATAAACTGAAGCAAGGATTGAAAGAAAACAATGAAGTTTAATGTTTTACAATGCAAGTATGTAACTGTAAAATGAATGTTTGTATAAATTGTTGTTGTGATTATTCAGGGAGGAGCAGACATTGGTAAAAGATGTGGTATCATTTAGATCGTAGCGTTCCATCGGCTGACGAGATTTTGGTTATATATTATAAAATAAAACAAATAATACCAAATAGCCTTCGCCAGTAAGAGAAATAATAAAAACATTTAACTGACACTGAAAAAGTACCATCAAATGGAAAGAGACCAAATCGACTAAGTATTGGAAAGTGAAAGCAGTAAAATATATGCAAATGAGGCCATTTTGGCTTCAATTCATATAAAGTATATAAATTACACAAATTTAGCCCAAAAGGCATCATTTGACGAAATATTATTTAATTTTTTCTATTCACCCAATTTCTAAATGGTCTATGAACATGGTTAAAATCACATTTTATGTTTCCAATTAAAATCAATCACTTTTGCATTATAATTTATCATCATGAGCGGTACTGTACACCGCGCGTACTTGTGTGAAGGGCAGCCTGTCAATCAAACACATAGCACAACTAAATTTTTAATATAAACATATAAATATATATAATATTGCAAACATATAATATCATATCAAATCATTTAAGAATATTCTAGATTGCTACTTTTTCTATTGACCAGTCAACCCTGTCTGCGTTACGTCATTGATTAGACTAGATGTCACATGACTTTGCTCATGATTCCAACCATAAATTCTTTGTCATTTTGACTTCAAACACTAAATCTTCAACAACTTGTTTTTCAGAACAATTTCATGACGAGTATAAGATGTCGTTCACTCGACCGACTTTTCAACAAACACATCACTTGTATATATTTGCATTAACGTGACTACTGTGTAACTAATAGGGAGTTTTAGCAAGAGTACGACTACGATTACGAGTACGAAATTTGACCGTGTAAGAGAATGGCACGAGGAAGGTTGTTGTCGTTGTCGCTTCGTCAAAATTAAGTTTTAGCTGTAAACAACAGAACGAGTCTTTTTATTGTGTAAAACACCGACGTTTGCGAAGCAGCTACGGCTCTATTTGTCAATAATGATATCAAAGAATCAATAATACTGGTTTTGCAAGAATATAGGACTCTTTAGACTGAAAAATCTTCACTATTTTAAGTTTTATGTACGATATATTTGTACTATTTTATTGCTGTTTACCTTTCACTTTGCGTAAGAAATACATGAAAGTTTTGGAGGTCATATTTTCCTTTTTAATGTACATCTGCGCTCAAATAGGGTTCTAAATTAAAGCCTGGATGCTCCAAAATAGTACTGTAAACTAATTTCTTGCAGAATGAAGAAATATACATACTTTCTTTGCTTAAAAAGACATCGTAGTCGCGACTACGAATTTTTTACAAAACATCGTACTCAGATTGATGACGGCTACGTGTTTTTGTTGTCGCAACAACGATTACGCGCCAGAATGACGTAAATCGTACTCGTAGTCGTACTCGTAGTCTTTGCTAAAACTCCCTAATTTTGGGGGTACTGTTGGGTACCTGTGTACAGGCAAATAGGGAGTTTTAGCAGAGCTTACGAGTACGACTACGAGTACGATTTACGTCATTTTAGCGCGAAAACATTGTTGCGACAACAAAAACACGTAGCCGTCATCAATCTGAGTACGATGTTTTGTAAAAATTCGTAGTCGCGACTACGATGTCTTTAAAGAAAGTAGGTATATTTCTTTATTCTGTAAGAAATTAGTTTACAGTACTATTTTCGAGCATCCAGGCTTTAATTTAGAACCCTTTTGAGCGCAGATGCATTAAAAGGAAAATATGACCTGCAAAACTTTCATGTATTTCGTACGCAAAGTGAAAGGTAAACAAACAATAAAATAGTACAAATATATCGTACATAAAACTTAAAATAGTGAAGATTTTCAGTCTAAAGAGTCCTATATTCGCAAAACCAGTATTACCGAGTCATTGATATCATTATTGACAAATAGAGCCGAAGCTGCTTCGCAAACGTCGGTGTTTTTAATAAAAGGCTCGTTCTGTTGTTTATAGCTAAAACTAAATTTTGACGAAGCGACAACGACAACAAACTTCCTCGTGCCATTCTCTTACACGGTCAAATTTCGTACTCGTTCTCGTAGTCGTACTCTTGCTAAAACTCCCTAATGACGTAATATACTGAACCCACGCATCAAATTTCAATATGGCGTCTGTGCTCCGATCTCTCGATTTAGCTGCAAGTCATCACATAAAAATTCTTGATTTGCAAAGAAAAAGATTGGACTCGCTGAAATCTTGCAAACAAGCCGATTAAACGACTATACTAATAACCTATGGTAAGATATTGAAAGACGTGCATCTGCGATTCGTCTAACTGGCAAATGCTGTAAAGTTTTCAATGATGCATGATTCATGGCTTAGTTTTTCAAATAATAAAGACAATATATATTTATTAAATATCATGCTCTTATTAAAACCCGCAGGCAAGCTTTTAAATGTAACAACAAATAAATTTCTGTCAATTACATTTTCAGTTAACTGTCGACAAGCATGTCAGTGTTGTATCCATTGAACTAAAATAGATGGAAGTCTACACGTCTGTCGATATTTTGATGCCAGAGAGCCCACTCTTTCCACACAATATAAACGCACGGCCGATAGAAGCGAAGGAAAAGATAACTTGTATGATTTACAAATCTCCGAAAACAAAACAAAAGCCCTTTTTTATTTGGCAAACAAAACTTTTCAAATAAAATTTAACATTAAGCATACACAACTTTTCGGCAATTAAAGTTTGGTAAAGAAAGCCCTAGCTTTTATCTATTACAGGCAGCCTTCCTTCTATGATAGTTCAGCGGTATGAATGTTTTATGCAGTGCGGTGTTTGAAATTAAATGAAGATATGATCTTCGCACTTTGCTGGACAATTTAAGCAATCGTCTCAGGACCTGAAAAAATCAGGTGACTGATTAATAGTTCAGTGGTGTTATCACAGTTCTCTTTGCTCCAATTTTTGCACGATTTTATACTTTACTAAGCAGTTTGGTGAGAGGATACAAATTGAACAGGTGACGTAGCCTGTTTCATTTTTTCAAAGATTATGATTTTTTTTCACCACTTTCAAAGAGAAAGCAGTTTTGGTGTGCTAGTGAGGTCTATTAAACCAGACGGCAGCTACGTACCATACGCTTTAGTAAATTTTATTTTGAATTTGAGACCAACGCCCGTTTTCTAAAAGCTCTCTCACGCTAATCGGGTTCTCTCTAATTAATAGCAGAGTGATTTCTTCTACAATTGCAAGATTTTGCTAAAATATTCCAATAGAATAAGCTTCCACATTTACATGAAATGTTTTACGAGCAGTATGTGAATTATTTCTGCAATGCTCAGCAATATATCTCGTTTTGCCCGAGTTATATATGTTTTAACAGACTGACTACGGGATAGTTCCTTTCCTATTCTCTCAAAATGATGTCTGAATATGAGTAGCTACTCAAAATAAACTCCTTTCTCACTTCTTAATCATAAATGCATGTGCGTTGATACAAACTTTTATTATACGCACGCAGCAATACGCAGATGTTCATTCTTTCCAGCAAATTTCCTTTAGTGCTGGCAAGAATTGTATTTTTTTAATGAACATTAATGATAAAACACCCATTAAGAAATTAAAATTACATATATGTCAACTAAATCTATTTCATTATATATTACGTATTGTTTGCTGGGTAGTACTATTTATCTAAAGATCTATTTATTTTGCTGTTTTCTAACTGACTAAGAAAATCATCTTCAACGGACTCCTCCTTATGCACTGGAAAATACATTTCGTCATCATCTAGATCATCATTAAGATAACTTCTCCCTAAGTCAAAAGAAAAGTCATTTGATTCGCAATTCTATAATTACTACACGAGGATTCATGTTTAGATATGTTTTGATAAGTCGTTGGTCCATGATTTGGCATGGCAGTATACTCACCATCAGATGTCTCTTGAATAGGCAAAATAAGGTGGAACTCATCGGCTGAATTAGATCCATTATTGTAACCAACCATTCTACTTCTACATATAGAAAGTTTCAAAAGTACGGTTAAGTTTTGTAATATAAAGGATGTCTCGAATAAAGTACAAAATATTGATTAAATCACGAATGGCAATATATTGGTGTTTTATTGATATAGTGAATGATTTAAACCCGTGAGTATCGTTACATTTTGTATGTAGTCTTTATCCAGCTCACAGTCCTAGGGCCGGTTGCACAAAGCCTGGATAGTGTTATCTATTGGATAGCGAAAATTTTCAAACTTGTAAAAAAAGCGTTTATATTTTTCTTACGACAAAGAAATTTTGTAATCTTCGAAAGAATATTTTATTTCAGTGATTGCACAGTTCAAATCGTATATTTTTCTCTTATGAGAGATTTTATGAGCGTTCAGAAAAACTTGCTATCCAGTGGATAACGCTATCCAGGCTTCGTGCAACCGAACCCTGCCGCAAAAAAAAGAAATTGTTTCATTTTCAATGACTTTGACGCTGATCTGAAGTATTTATACATTCTTGGAACTTTTGTTGCCTTTAAGCATCCGGGGAGTTTTATTGCGCACCTTTTGAACGGCTTTAAACTTCTTGACTGTTTTCTGATATTTTTGACTCTGAAGATGACTACCGCAAAGGTTGTCGAAACGTCAGTCAACAACAACAAAAACAGTCCTTCTCATGACTTTATTAACCTGGACGATCATCATTTACAAACATGTAACGATCCTCCCGGGTTTAAACCATTTACTTTATTGACTGTTTTCTTTGTCACACCTGCAAAAGTACGAGAATCAAATAATTCTTTAAATTTCAGTAACATTGGTATTTCATAGATATGTGTATAAAGGGTCCATTTCCATATACTAGTAAGGGCCCACGTACCATGGCACAATGTCCACTCTTGGGCATGTCCGAATTCAAGAAAAGTTAAATTTTTTGGTTAGTTTCCTTACAATAAGTTATAGCACATCCTTTCCAATTTAGAAAGATGACTTGCTGAGCTTAAAGTTTTTATTATCTAGAAATATTCTGGGTTTTTTTTACAAGAGCATAAGGTAAAAAGTATTGATTAAAGTCACATTTACTTCAATGGCACGCTTTGTTATCTGGGAAAAAATTCCGGCATTTGTACCATAAACTTAAATTAATTCTATTTTTATACCATAATTTCCTATGCAAGCTTATGTACATTCTGTACTAGTACTATTCACACGATACTGGACTCATACCGTGTCGGAATCGAAATCCAATCATGAATCCAATCCGATGAAGCAAAAAAATTAAAATAAAATCATTATTTATCTCTACAATTACGTCATTTCCCTGCAACACGAACTAGTGCATGTGGAGTAGCCGTATGGCGGCAAATGACAGTCGAAATCTCGACGCATTTCTAACAGAAAGGCCGTCCCATTTGGACTGATAGGGTGATTGAACTCTTGCAATAGTGAATCATGAAGTTTGATTGTATGTGGAGGCAGACTGGAGAAGTATTGAATCGAAATTTGAGCGAATGGCAATTTGGAAATGACTGTTTGAATTGCAGCCAGAAAGGGGGTGGATGAACTTGATACACGGGAATAAACATTGTGAAACTCTCTGGTCAATGTGCATGGAAAGTGCTAAGGCGAAGAAAAGAATAGCTGCGAAGGTGAAATATTTGTTAAACAAGTATTAAATGATTAGACAGGTTCTTAGCTGTAGGGATGGGCTATGAAATTCATATATTCTGTTGCACCCAACCATTGAGTTGTATAAGACCTCAAGGTCACAGAGAACTCAATGCGTCCAACTCATATATGTTGCATAAATGAATAACACCCTTCCCTAACTAATGTTGTAGCAGTGGCCCTGGGAAAGTGTTGTCCTGAAATTTTTAATGTCTGTAGCAAAATTTGAGATGCAGTCCTTCAACAACTAACCTTGAATATAGAGTGAATTTTTATAATGCATGAATTAGAATCAAGTCTCTTTATTTCTATCTTGCAAGTGTTTTAGGAGAGGTTAGTTCAGTGTGATCAGAATTGGTAATTTTTATTACCAGATCCAGGCTGGTGAGCTTTGACAGCCCCACCTGCTTTAAATGATTACAACATATGGAACAGGGGAAGCAATCTACACAGATCAATGCTCATAATGTATTAAACATACATTGTCACATTGGATTAGTCACTGTGAATGAACATCTTGTCATTCTACAAATTAATATTTTGCAACCAAGATGCCAATGAGGAATTATTGTAGACAAGACGATGCAGTTTAAAAAATAATGAGAATTTCCAAAAAAAAATAGTTGCTCTATGGCTATATTATCATGTGCAGAAAGAATGTAGTGCAATATTTTGAAGCTGGCCATTCTTCTGGTGCATTCAAATAACTATCAATTTCAAGTTTGCACAAATTCAGATGCAACCTATATTATTGCACAGCGGCACTGGAAGGACTAAAATGGGGGGGGGCACATTTTTAAAATCGTCTTCACCAATTTGGCAGTTGTGTCATGTTTTCCACTTATTGTATACTTTCAACACCCCTGATAATGCATGTTAATGTTTTGTTTAAGGAGGAGTATTGATTTTAATTAGAGTAATTAGCTTGTGATTCTTTACTGAAAATAATTTTTTCCTCATTCCAGGAACTTGCTTTTGAAGTTGAGTAGAAACTCACTGTCATATACGATCATGTTCAAAGTAGCATATTGTGTGTATTTCATTTAAAGCTCAATAAGCTTCCTTAAAAACCTTAAGCTTTAATTTACCAAGTGAATTTTCCACTCTTTTTGCTTAGGATAATCTATATTTGCATCATAGTGCTGAATGTGTGGTTTCTCATTTGCAATTTTTGTCAAAGTAAGTATATTAGGGTATAGAAGATTAGCAGAAAAGCATTTGGAGACAGAATGTTCACCATTAAACATTACTTTGGAGAGCATTTCATTGCATCACTCAGTATTTCAATGAAGCTAGTTCTGAATAACATGCATACAGTACAGACAGACCATTTGATTTACAATATTTGTGTTCCACACAACTTTAAACATTGAGATTGTATATGCCTTTCCTGTTTATATAATCATCTTTGGCATCCACATACCACATTCTTTTTAAGACTCCCTCGCCCCTCTGGCAAACCCAAGTTTAAAAATTTGTTTATACCTCGTCTTATGTTGTAGGGATGTCTTATGAATATTGTCCTCATGAACATAAAAGTTGAAGGAATATTTCTACAAGTTTGAGCACTCTGGTGACTCTAGTGTGAAACAGCAACAATGTGTAACCGTCTGTTCTACTCCCCAGTCCTGAGCCACCATTGCACAGGAGGGTACATTGTTATACAAATTGTGTATATAAAGCATACAGGGTGTGATAAAAAAATTCAATCCGAAGATATCATCTGACCTTTAGAGTTTTCCATTGATCCACAAGGAGGCGTAAACACAATTAAAAGGAATTATATTCTTGGATTTACTATGTGCACTAGCTGCCTCCTTTTGGTACAATTACTGCTGAACCATGCATTTATTGTCTAAACTTGAGTTGATTTCAAATGGTTTCAATGCTTAAATTTTTTGATGCCCTCAGTGCAGTGTTTAGTGTTGAGTCTTGAAGAATGTTTAGTGTATGTGGTGTAAAGTGTGCAGGGATATGGTGTATTGTGCACAGGGTGTATTGTGTACATAGTGTTAAGTGTACAAGTTTTATATTGTACAGGGTGTATCAAAGGTCATTAGAATTTGACATATTGTGATAATTTCAATTGCTACGACTAGGCTCGGCACACTACTGCATAAAGTATTGTTAGCTACGTGCATATACTTGCGCAAAAGCTTTTCTGATCCTGGGAATTTGACACAAGTTCTAACAACAAAACATGCGCTGAAATGTACCACAGAGATTAGCATAGTCATCAAGTCTTGAAATTTCACGATGTGTTAGTTCCTAAATGTCGTCTTTGATACACCCTGTAGATAGCCCGTTCATATAAACGTGCCTGCTATAGTGTATATTTTGTCCACTAGAGTTCGGTCGGCCTTCGCCGACGTGCAGTTGTACTACTTAGCGACATACGTACAATTGTTAGTATGTTAAACCTTCAAAATGCGTTTGGCATGACGATTTATTTATGTAACAATGGTTTGAAAACAACAAATCAGCTTAAATAGTTACATTTCGTTTATTATCATGTGGCAGTAACTTCAAATTTATCTCTGTAAAATACAAAGTATTTTCAATTAGTACTATCCATCTTGATGTTATTCTAACTAAATAAACCCGATCTACATATAAGTTATAACTTACCTTTTTCCTTATATAAAGCTTCTCTTTAGTGACGCATGAAATCGAGCTGATATTCGTGCAGCGGGATGAATTTAAATTTAAACCTCAATTTTTTTACGCAAGTGCGGGAACCAATGGCGCGAATGATTGGTTGAAATAAACATTTTTAGTGTTATTTACGTTTCACCTTCTCCCGAGTCCCCCCGACAGACATATTTCGCGCGTACAATCCATTGTACAATCGAATTTGCTCGTTTGTTTATGAGTGTTTGGAAATAGATATGCGTGCGAGAAAAAATAGAATAAAAACTATATGTAAGTGACCACTAAAGATGCAATTTCAAACAAACCGAGAACCGTAAATACAATGCGATAAATGTTTACAACACAGTATGAAATATACAGAGGTGAGTTAAATTTATTGATGATTTATTATCGTGGATTTTGAACTAAACCGTTATTTTCACGAAAGGCAACACATTTTTTTTGTTCATTAATTTTATGTTTTAAAATGTTATTACCGCATTCGTTTAAGCCCGGTTTCCATATAATCGTTTCGATCTTCAATCGTCTGAAAGCGTACAAGGATGATAAGAGCGATTTTATGGAAACATATTCAAGACTATCGAAACGAACGAGGCCATCAAAGCGATTACAATCGTCAAGATGGTACTCTGTTCTATCTAGACGATTAAAACGATTACGTGCAATATCGTCCCTGCATGCTTGCAGACGACAGACGATCGAGACGATTATATGTAAATCGGGCTTTATGTGTTAAATTAGACAACACACCAATGACCTAAGAATGTATTTAAACAACAGCATCAACCTCTGTTTGGTTTGATACTATCATGTATTTTAAAACAAGTCATACTTTAAGACTTAACATAAATTAAGGTACTTTTTTTACTATTCCCAAGATATTGACTTATAATTATAACTAATCTTGCATTCTGAAATACCTGTTGGAACATGGCATTATTTGCTTCTTCACAAAACAATGTTATAATTTTACCTTATCATGTGCATCAAGCAAATCATATATTTCAAGTCAATACATTGAATCATAGTGCACTTTTTTATGTTTTTAATAGCATAGTAGGGTTATCAAATGTCATAAAAGTTTAAGTTTGTTTTTGAAGCTAAATTAATGCATGCTTCAATCTAGATGGCTTTCTATCAATGTTATCAATTATAGATTGCCTTGATTTTGGTGAGAAAAATTTGAGCATAGGGGCTCCTTCCCTTAAATACCAATTTGGACCCTTTCATCATGTCTAACTTGCATCTTAATATTCGTAAATGATACGTTTAAATTACAGAGTTTTGTTTTACCATGCTTGGAGTATTACAGGAATTTGTTACTTTGTTTTATATCTTCCTAATCTCTCTACATTTCTTCAGATAGCTTCAACCAACTTCTCCAAGAAGCTAGACCATATCTTTGTTTGAAAGTTCGTCTGTGGGTATAGTTGAAACTTGTATTAAAGATGAAGCTAGTGGTAGGGTGAATCAACATGAGAATCTCCATGTAACAAATGTAATTATCCAAAGTTGCCGCATCCTTGAGGAAACTATAGAAGCAAGGTTTGCCTATAAACAGTGAATTTTTTGGTGTCATTGATGAAAGGGTGTTTTTTTTTCACATCAACTGCAGCACAACTTTGACAATTTGACTATCTTCTGTTTTAATAGATGAAATTATAACCTGCCTTATTTTTACAACAATACTCTACCAATTCACACTTTTCGACAATTATGGAACACTTAATTTATACATTGCAGATTTTTTGCCTTAATTAAGTTATAAAATGGAACATTATGTCCATAATAGCATTTTCAAAGAAAAGACCATGACTAATGTCTGTCAAAGGAAAAAATATGAATCAAACAGAGCTAGTTGTAGTTAATAGAGAGGAAAGGGTTATTTTAAATATATGAACATGTCTGTTGTGGGTTTTCAACACTTTGCTACCTACTGTAGGAATAAAGATGTACAAAAAGTCAACCTTTTTGTTTATTAGTTTATTGTCATTATTTATTTTGTATAATCCTTAATCACTATGGATTTCAAAAGAAATTAAATAACTAATATAGTAAAACATGTATACGGTATATAAATATTAGTGCCTCCCCCCAATCATCAATCAATAACCGCTACGCAATAAAATGTCCTCCCCAAAAAACATGTTTTCAGTCATGTTTTTTTTCTTACATAATGATCTCATTAAAATTTTTAGCAACTTGATCCTACAGTTGTTTGGACATGTTTTTCAAAGATAAAACAACTATTACACTAAACCAAGCATCAACACAAAGTAATGACAAAAATTCTATTCAATACAATTCTAAAACAATTCTATACTTATCATCAGATAAATCGACTCGAGATGCCCCCTCACCCTTTCAATGCGTCGAAATAATTTAACGCCTCATTGAATCCCGGTTAGCCCATTAAGTGACTAATTTTCCGTTGTTAACATTTCTTTAATGGACGTCGTGACAAAAATGTTTTATTGTGATTGGCTCTTTAGGAGCATGTCGTCTATCAAAAAGACCTGCGTTCAAATCACCTTTAATACGTTTGAATAAAAAAAGTCATTAGAATTTTCAGATATTTTTACGTTTTAATGTCGTTATGCAAAGTAACGATGCTTGATGATGTAGGTTTAGATTCATGAGACGATATTAAATTTGGAAACTATACTTTAATTTTGTCCAAATATTCATGAAATCTTGCAGTCGCATCTTGCTAGTTTAAGGTTAGGAGAGGGTTTAAGGATGTTTTGGTTGACGTCACCAACATCTTAATGCCCAAAACGATGATACTTGTGTTGTTTAGTAGGCTGAATAACTTTAACTAAATAAGGATTTGCATAATATCACAGAAAAATGGTCATTATCATTTGCATTTTACGTATATCAATGAAGGGAGAGCATATTTCTTTTGTTTGGCAACAATACGTTTTGTTTTTAATAAAGGTGTTGCCTTCAAACCCTTTTGAAATGTTTAACCTACGTACTTGCTTCGGTGTCATGTATAAAAATAAATCCCACGGCTGGAAACTAAATGTAAGTGACTACGCTGACGATAAATGAGTATTTGCATAGTTTCTACCCCCCCTAAATTTAGGGGGGTCTTGGAATTTTCAAAAATGCCTTCTATGGGGTGGGTCGAAAAAATTTTGAATTTCTAGGGGTGGGTTATAAACTAGGGGTGGGTATGTCTATGTAGGGTGGGTTCCGAGATTTTCCTATTAGAAAAATTAAAAATAGATGAAATGCATCTATGATAAAAAAGTTAATAACTTCAAATTTCAACATCACTCAATTTTGCCCCATGTTATTGCATCATCTATCTTCATATTACCCTATAAGGGACCAAAAATATCTCCCTAATTTGACACCATGTTATTGCATCAGCCATTGATTGCATCAGCCATTGATTGCATCATCCATTAATTGCATCAGCCATTGATTGCATCAGCCAATTCCCTGTCTCAAAATCATGAACCTTGATCATAGTTAGTGACATGTTGGTTGCTGGGTGAGTGGGTGTCTATCTCCGTGTGATTAATAACCGTTATAATTTGGTCTGTTTTTGTATTAGTTTGTTTAGTTCAGTAATTTTAAAGGTGTTACTATTTACAGATAAGTAGTACTAGTACATAGGTAATTCAACACTTGCATGCAATGCCGTCAACCTCTTCAAAGAAGTGTGCGAACGTAACTGGTTACACTCCTGATGTTGTCGAGAAGCTCCTTAAAGCTCAGAGGTCGCATCCTGTCAAAGGAAACTGGAGACGGGACAGAATTATCGAGGATGTGGAGTTTTACGACTGCAATGTGGTGTGGAGAGCCAATGGCGAGGCCAATGATCTATCTGGTGAAACAATCCTCGATTATGTTGTGAAACTTGCTGTTCCGAAAGGGATGCAGGGGCTTATTGAGAAGCTGCAATCATTGCATGGCAGGAATGCACACTCTCTTCCTACTGCAGTTAAAGATCATTTTCTTGTCGCTTTAAAGGAAAGATTGGAGCAGATTGGTGGGTTGAAGATCACATGCACATTTTCAGGTAAGCTTTTGCTTGTTTTCTAATCCAATTAGTTCCAGCGAAAGTCATTTAATTAAGCATTTGAAGTACATGGACCAAATGCAATGAGCGACTCCACCTTTTTTTCAGCTGATCTTTGGACGAAGGACTTTACTCACTTGTATTGTCATATTTGTGAAGAAGTAGAGCTCCCCAAAATTTGGAAAGATCACAGTGACAAACTACCAGAAGAAATATCAATCAAAGACTTGTTCTACAACTTGGATAAGCTGGGCAAAAGCCACATGGACATCGATATTCTAGGTTGCCTGATACCAAATGAACCAAGTATATCTAATTATAAAGCTTCAACCTCTGAACTATAAAGGAAAAATGATTAGGTAACTGGGGTATTGAATCCTTCTAAATTTCTCGTTATTTTAGAACTTCATGTAGCATTTGGAGCACGTAACCTCTTACTTGTGCCACGTCTGCATAAAGATGCTGTTCATCCAACCCTTGCTAACGATGGAAAGGGAGAATCATCACAGACACCTTCTGGCAAACGGCAGTACAAGAGAAAAGTTCCCATGGCAGATTTCTTTGCAAAACGAGGTATATCCATCAGTTATTTTCTTGAAAGTGCTTATATAGGATTTAATAAGCATAAATGACATCTCCTAACCTAAAATTTGTTTAAGGTCCCAGTGGCAATAAAGCCAAAGAAAGTCCGAGCACACCAAACACAACATCCAACCCTAGTACACTAGTAAACCAAGACGAAGATGAAGTTCTGGTCGTCAGTTCTGAATCAATGCGAAACAAAGCCAAAGGAAAAACTCAATCTGACATTATTTCTTGACTTGTCCATAATTTCTTTTCAGCTAATCAAAGTTAAAGATGGGCTTTGGGAAGCGCCTACCGTATGGTTCATAGACACGCCAACAAAGCTATCTCATTCTTGACAACATGTGAAATATACCAAGATGGAATGCAGATGTGCAGGGAGTTTGCACAAGTTCAGAGAGATAAGGGGAACAAAGTTGACATCCAAATGATTCGTTTATTTCACATTCAGATGGCTCTGTTGAGGAAATTTGTTCAAAAGAGGAGGATGGAACATAAGTGCATGGTGCAGGTGGTGAAGGTCATGCTCTCAATCCCACCCAACACTGGGTGGATTGAGAGAGCATACAGCAAATTGCAGTTGATTTGCACTGCAAGACGGAACAAACTTCTGGTCGACAATATCCGCCATGAGTTCTTCCTGAACGTGCTGGAACTACCTGTCCGGGAGTGTACCACTGGATACAATGAAGAGATAGAGTTAGCCTCAAAGAAGAAGATATTTGGCGAGTTTGGTGAACTTGCTTGATTGACAATATTAGTGAATACATAGACTTTATCAGTGTTGTATATAGTATGCATAGAGAGACCATAAATAAGTCTAAAATCAGCTTTCCCGTGGAAAAAAACGAATTTTTTTCGGCTCGTATGTAGGGGTGGGTAAGGAAATTTTGGACCCAAATGTAGGGGTGGGTTACCAATTTGGGGTGGGTATGTCTATGTAGGGGTGGGTTCCAATCCCTCTAGAAACTATGAATTTGCTTCTTGATTTATCTCTATATTGTTCTTCTGAAAATCTCAATGTTTTTTTATTAATGCTATTGACTTTTGGTTTATTTCTTCAATGTCACATTAGTCATTATTGAATAGATGCAATGATAAATACACCAAATTTGTCGTCTGTCTCCAATGCACTATGTGGTTGAACGCTAGAGGTGCAGTTTTTTCAGATTGTGGCGAAGAATTGCAATGAACGAGATCCATAATTGTCTTTTGCTCCAATTTCTTACAATATTTTTAGTAGTCGAGAAAACATAGCGAATTTAAACCCTCTCTTAACCTTAACCTAGCAAGATATGACTATAAGATGCAATAAATATTTGGACAAAATTAAAGTCTAGTTTCTACATTAATTATCGTCTCTTGAATCACAACCTACAACATCATATCCCGTTACTTTGCATAACAACGTATAAACGCAAAAAAATCTGAAAACTCAGATGAATTATTTTTATTTAAAAGCACCGAAGCCTTCACTGAAGGATTACTTATTATCTTTTTGAATGGGTGACATGCTCCTAAGGAGACAATCACAATAAAAAAATTCAGTCATGACTTCAATTAAAGAAATGTTATAAACGGTTTAGCCACTTTAATGTTAGAAAATAAGATAAATTCTCTCCTTTTTACTGACTAAGTAGTGAAGT